GGAGGGGAGCATTGTAAATTTTGGTCAATGACATGAGACAAAGTATATGTGAACTGCTGTATGAAAAGTGAATTTACTCTGTAAATCTTCACCCATATCCTAAAAAAAAAAAAAAAGAATGTTATTGACCTACAAGTCTGGATCGTATATCCTTCGCCCTGTGCAGTGAGGACAGAGACTTGATTCCTTCCTGTTTCTCCAGTTCTTCTCAGTACTTAGTTTGCTAGCTGAGGCATCAGGATATGACATGACCAGAATTTAAAGTACAATAACAAAATATAGTGTGTAAAGACTTCTCCCTAGACATCACATCATTAGATTCTCACAAGATCCTAGTAAAATAGGAAGAGATTATTACTCCCATATCACAGAAGGCTGAGACTCAAAAAGGGTCAGTTTGTCAAGGGCAGAGCTGAGACTCAAACCCTTTTCTTAGGGCCAGGATAATTTATAAACAAACAATAACAAACTGTTTAGAAAAACAAAGGAGATAATGTGTGAGAATAAAAGTGGATTTGCCCAGACCCTGAAATCCCAGAGATTATGGTCCCTAGTTGCCCTTCAGGCCTGGAATTGAACTCAGTCCCGTGGCTTCTAGCCAAACAGACCTACAAGGTGAACAATTACACCAGGCAGGTACACGCCTTAAAATAATGAACCATGGGAGATCAGAAGGGCAGTATTTGCACAGAGAGATAGCTCAGAGGGCAGGAACACATAGGAAAGAAAGATACAGGGGAAAGGTAACCACAGGGAGGAAGTGGGAAGAGGACTGTTACATTATAGGGATTGCAATCAATGTCATGAAACAAAATGTGTATGAACTGTTGAATGGAAAATGAATTTGCTGTGTAACTTTCACCCAAATCACAAAAAATAATAAATTTAAAAAGTGGATTTACCCAGACAAAATGCTTAGGTTTCCAGAATCAGCAAGGAGTTTGTCTACAGGAGTTGTAGGAAGATCTGGACAGGTGGTAAAGGAAGCCTCTCTCTCCAGCAGCAGGTTTAACCTCTTCCTTTGACTGGATCTAAAACTGGGCCCTGAGCCAAGGCTTCCTTCCTCTCTTGCGGATGGGAAGACATCTGCATACATGGTCTCCGAGTTCTCACCAAGAAAAAATAAAACCTATACAGGAGAAGGAGTTCTGGTGGCGCAGCGGTTAAGGCATGCAGTTGCTAAACAAAAGGTCATCTACATAGGTCCATTACAGCTTTCATAACAACCTCCCCCACCCTTGCCAGCAGCAGTCAAGTGAGTCAGTATTGGAGGAGTGGTATCCCCAGACGGTGACCTTTTTGATGGAACCTAACTTAAAAACCCACCCACTGCCATCGAGTCGGATCCGACTCATAACGACCCCTCCTTGGGTTTCCGAGGCGGTATCACTATGGCAGTAGATTGCCCAACCTTCCTCCCGATTTGTGGCTGGGGGGGTTTCAACCGCCAGCCTTCTGGTTAGCAGTCAAAAGCCTCAGAGGCACTACGTCACCAAAGCTCCTGGAACCTAACTTACCGAGAGGCAACTCAGGGCTTTAAAGATGGAATAACTTGTTCCAGGTCACACAGCTCGCGAACCTGACCGTAACTCAGGTCTCCTAATTCGCGATAATGCCAGTCAAGTCCTCTGGACTTCCGTTGGCCGGGCTCCGGCTAGAGCCGAAGACGAAGTCTCCGTGACGTAGACCGCTCCGAGCTTAGCTCAGGTTTGGGGTCTGAGCCTTTCTTTCCTGGGGAAGGGATCTGACACAGGCGAAGTCTCGAGCAAAATTAAGAAAGCACAACCTGAGAAAGGAAGCAATTATCCAGGCTAATTTTGCTGTTCGCTTAGGTAGGCCAGGGTCGAATTTTTCACCTTCTCTTAGCAGAGGGTGGAAGTTATGGTCTCAGTGCAGTAGCAGCCGCAGGCCTTGACCATTCAAACCTTCCGCTCTCTCAATTACCTATCCACCCCTAGTTCTAAACTGCATCAGCCAAACTCCGGGCGCCCGCCAAGGCCCTCTCGGCCAATCGTACATCACTCCTGGGTCTGAGCTTGCGCGGGAAGAGCATTATTTGACTCGCCCTAGAGTCAGAGCAGGATGGCGATTGGCCCACCAGCTTTTGGCAAGCCACAGGGTAAGCCCCGCCCCACAGGGAGCCTGACGTACCATTGGCTTTCCCTCTGGCCAATCGCCACACCCTTCCTCAGTGCTCCCTCCCGTTAGCTCCACCAACCCCGGGACATTTAAATTACGATCTTTCGCTAGAAAGATTCCTGGAGAATTGCTTTTGTATGGCAGGTTTTGGGAGCATTTCTTTTGTTCTTGTTTCTTTTTCGTGCTTGGACTTTTCCCTCCTAGTTTTGCTAGCTGTCCGCTAGAGATGGAGCATTTCCCGTCGGCATGGCAGTTGTTAGGAAGAGACAGGTGTGTGTGTGTTTATGCAGAGCGGCGTCGGCCTCTTCCAAGAGCCGGGGTGACCCTTTTTAAGGACAGCATCTCTGAGACGCTAGGTTATGTAAGGTAAAGGGAAATTCCTTTGCGGGGAAAATAAGGGAGTCGAATCATTTCTTGGAATAATACTTATCACAGTTATAAAGGATCTCAATCTTTGTTATGAAATTTGTCTTGACTAAAGTGATATTAAAGAAGCAGTGGTGGCGCAACGGTTAAGCGCTTGGCTGCTAAAGGTCGGGGGTTTGAACCCAACAGCTGCTCTGCAAGAAAAAGACTCAGCAGTCTGCTCCCTAAAGATTTCAGCCTAGAAAACCCTATGGGGCAGTTCCATTCTGTCATGTAGGGTTGCTATGAGTTGGAATCCACTTGACAGCATACAACAGGTGATATTGCTATTCATATTTTTGGGGATTTGCATCTAAATAAATAATAGAGTGGAGGGAAGTGGTTCGTATAACTGAAACAAGATTGGCCATTAGTAGTATTGTTGTTGTTTGCCTTCGAGTCAGACCTGAGTCAGACCCGACTGGTAGAGACCCCTCCTTGGGTTTCCGAGGCAGTGTCACTACGGAATTAGATTGCCCAACCTTCCTTCCGAGGAGTGGGTAGTGGATTTGAACCACCAGCCTCCTGGTTAGCAGTTAAGTGCCTTAGGCACTACCAGAGCTGGCTGGTTGATCAATATCCAAGGCCCATTATATTAGTACTTGTCAAAGTTTAATTTGCCCACTAACCACCTGAAGATCTTGTTAAAATGCAGACTCTGACTCAGTAAATCTGAATTGAGACCCAAGATTCTGCACTGCAAACAAGCTCTTAAGTGATGCTGATGCAGCTAATCCTGGGACTATCACATTTTTAGTAGTATGACATTATGCTATTCTCTACTGCTGTATATATTTGGAATTTTCCGTAATTAAAAGTGTTTAAAATGACTGGGGCTTTGAACCAGTTCATTCTGGTGCTACACCTTGCTGAGAATATGCATTTCCACCCCAGATATACTGAATCAGAATCTACATTTTAACAAGATCCCCAGGTGATTCTTACTGATCACCAGGTAATTCTTATTTATACCTTGGAAGTTCTTGAAAATGCAAGAGCTCCAAATACTGATTCAGTAAGTCTAGAATGGGTCCCAGGAATGATCAAGGCACCCAGGTACTACCAATGCTGTGGTTTGCAGATGACACTTTTTGAAACATTAAGTCAGAAATGCAACCTTTATCATTGAGAAACAGTAAATCAGAAATACCACCTTTACCTGTGTCAGGATCTTGGTGGTGGTGGTGGCTGAGAAGCATTGCAGTGGGCTGGTTTTTACCCTAGTATCTGCTTCATCTTTAGAATCTGCTGCCCCAAAAAGGAGATGTGTGAGGAGTCTTTGTCCTCTAGGACAGAGATGGTGAGTGTGGGAGTCAGCACAGAGCCATGCCACACCAGGTAAGTTTGAAAATCAGGCTGGGAATTCAGAGTATGGAATGAGTTGGTTCTGCTTTGATGACTGTAATCACACTTTGTGGGCCACTGTGTACTTCCTCATAGGTGGGACATAGAGACAGATGAAGTTGTCCTGCAGCGGCGGCAAAAGCAGATAGATTACGGCAAGCGCACACCTGGCTACCAGTGCTTTCTGCAGCAGGTCCCCAAGTGAGTACAGTTGTGGGGCAGTCACAACAAAGGTATCAACCAAGTTGCTTTGGTTCAATATTATCAGGTGATGGAAAGATACTGAATGTTTTGAATGTTCTCACAAAGTTGCATAATTAATAAAACTAAGTTTCCTGCAATTTGGTCATAATGTTTCCAAGATTTTTTTTTCCCCTAAGTGGAACATGTCATACTTGGCCCATATGACTTTGAAAAAAATTTTATTGTGGTGAAATATATCTAATAAAATATTTCAACAATTTTACATGTACAATTCAGTGACATTAATTACATTCACCATGTTTTGTAACAATCACCATCATGTGTTTCCAAAATTTTCCATTGCCCTTAACAAAAATTCTCTTCCCCTCAAGCAATACCTCTTATTTTCCTCTCCCATCTGCCCTTCCACATGACTTTTTAAAGCTCTGTGTTTCCTAATGAGGTGGTTTTCCTACTAACCATTTTTACCATCATATCCTTATGCCTCCCCTTGCCTTGGTAATTGCAACACACTCACCTAATTACATGTAAGTTTGTATGTACTCATACAAATTAAATGTATGAAAAGGTAGAATTTATTTTAAAAGGAAGTCAAATATTGTCCTATGTCTATCTTGATTTCCAAGAATATATCTAATTGACACTTTCCAGAAGAAAGAATATTAGGGAGGCTGAAAGTTTGATATTTAATTTGAAGATCTACATTTTCTGTTGGATTGAGAACTCTGATCTCACCCATTCTCAGGGAATTTTTTTTTTTCTAGTTTATATAATGTTTCATTTTTAAAAAAATTGTATTGTGATTTGGATGAAAGGTTACAGAGAAAATTCATTTTCCATACAGCAATTCATACACATTTTGTTTCATGACATTGACTGCAATCCCCACAATGTAACAGCTCTCTTCCTATTTCCTCCCTGTAGTTACCTCTTCCCTGTGTCCTTTTTTCCTCAGGGAATTTCTAATAAGGCTCTTGATTCACTGTGATAAGTATTGAGATGTGTCCCCTGCTATACAGGGCCCCATTTCACACTGACCTCAGCCTGACCCACATTTGTTGCCAGGGCACAACGACAGCCAGGGCTTCACCCTCAAACGCCAAATAAGAATAGGAGGTATAGCCGCCGCTCCTGGGATGCCCAGATCAGGCAGTGGAGAAGAGCGCTGCATTCCTGGGACCCACCCTGCAGGACAGGGGCCTACAGGGTATGTTCACTTATCCTGGTTCCTTCAGTGAGTGCCCACAATTTCCCACTTTGTAGGGGTTTATCTTTCACTGTGTGTAAAGGGAGGGTCTGAATGAAAGGCACTTTCTTCTGACTCGGCTGCATTCCTAGGCAGGGAATGGAGAGTCTCTTACAGCAAATGAACTCCACCTACTGGGTAACTGGATTCAGGCCCTAGGACCCTCAGAGAATCTGGATGGAGACCAGGTAGTATCCTCTGCTAAAATCCCACAGGGACACAATTAAGATGGAGTTCAAGGTAGCATCCCAAGAACAAAAGGAGCAGCAGAAAAAAGTAACAGGACATGAGTTAAAAATTTGAGAACTAAGAGGGCATAAGGAGATTTAGAAGGAGCCCTCATGGTACAATGGTTAAGTGCTTGGCTGTTAACGAAAAGGTTGGGAGTTTGAACCCAACCAGTGGCTCCATGGGAGAAAGACCTGGCAATCTCCTCCCATAAAGATTATAGCCTAGAAAACCAAAGGGAGCAATTCTATTCTGTCACATAGGTCACTATGAGTTAAAATTGACTAGATGACACATAACAAGAAGATTTAACTATGATTAGTAATGGGGGCAGGGCTTTGGGCTACACTGGGCACTATTTTATACTTGATGAAAGAGGGTATAATTTTCCCTTGAAATAAGGCCTGAAACCTGATGTGCACCTTTACTTTTTTTTTTTTTTTTTTGTGATTTGGGTGAAAGTTTACAGCACTTCACATACACTTTGTCTCATGACATGGACTACAATTTACCACAATGCAACAGTTTTCCTCCCACTTCCTCCTGATAGTTACCTCTTCCCTGTGTCCATCCCTCCATGCACTCCTGCCCCCTAAGCTGTCTCCCTGTGCATAAGCAGCCCTTCTTTCTCCCATGATTGTTCTCTCCAAGGAGTATATCTACCTAGTGTAAATATGCCTGTCTTTTGTTTGGCTGGAAGCCACAAGTGTGGGTTCAATTCCAGACCTGAAAGGCAGCTAGGGGCCATAGTCTCAGTGGTTCCACCAGGCTCTATCAGACCAGCAATCTGGTCCCTTTTTTTTTCCAAATGATTTTGAGTTTTATTCTACATTGTTCTCCCACTCTATCCAGAATCTCCTACACAGTTAGGTCTGAGTGGTTGACAGTGGTAGCCAGGCACCATCTAGTTCTTCTGGTCTCATAGTAGGCTGAGGATCACATGATATACCAGTCTCTTGGACTAATTTTTTCCATGAATCTTTGGTTTTCTTCATTCTTCTTTGCTCTGAATGAGGAGAGACCCATTGTTGCATCTAGATGGCTGCTTGAAAGCTTTTAAGATCCCAGTCACTACTCACCAAAGTAGGAAGTGGAACAATGTTTTTATATTGTATGTTATACCAATTGAACTTGATGTCCCCTGTGCTGATGTGCACCTTTACTTTTTAAAGTGTCTCAATTTCTTTCAATATTTTGCAAGTGAGCCAATGCTAACTTCTTTTACTGAACCATTTAACTTTTGTAAGCATGCATGGTAATTTAAAAAGGGGGGGATGGGGTGAGATCCTAGTGCTTTACACAGCCAGGCTATAAAGTCTCAGAATTAATACTATCTTTGCCCACCACTTGAATAGTTACTTAACTTTTTGAGCTGTTTCATCTGTCAAATACAGAAAATAATGTCTCATTTGATGATTATAAGCAGCAATGAGAATATATATTACGTAGCAAAGTGCCTAGCACATAAGAAGTGCTTCACAAACTATTTTTGAAAACCATGTCTCCTGTGTTTCATGGTTCCTGTCTCTGCTGCTTTTTCACAAAGGGAAATGGGCAGTGTAAGGTAAATACCCCTCCTACTCTCTTATAGGAGCTCTGGTAGCGTAGTGCCTAAAGCACTTGACTGCTAACCAGAAGGCTGGCAGTTCAAACCCACCAGTCACTCCTCAGAAGATGAGGCAATCTACTTCCATAGTGTTACTGCCTTGGAAACCTGAGGGGTCACTATGAGTTGGGTCCCACTTGATGGCACATAACAACACAACAACTTTCTTATACTCACTGCCATCGAGTTGGATCAGACTCATAGCGACCCCTCCTTGGGTTTCTGCAGGGCTATCACTATAGAAGTAGATTCCCCAACCATCCTTCCAAGGAGTGGCTGATGGATTTGAACTGCCAACCTTCTGGTTAGCAGTCAAATGCCTTAGGCACTATGCCACCAGAGCTCCTTACTTCTTATAAGTACCTCACTTTTCCTCTACTCTTCTTTTTCAGTTTGATGACTTGATGGCTCCTGCCTCCTCCCTTCCTTGGATCAGTGAGGAAGATCCCCACCACTAACTACTTTATAGCTGATCACAGCTATTTACCTGTCCCACACTTGAGTAGGGCACAAAATGTTTGGAGAAAACACATCTTTCTGGGGACATGTTGCTAAGTGTCATAATGAAGCTATTTGCATTACTACCACTTTAAAATCAATTAAAAAACAAATCTAAAAGTCTACCCTGCAAAGAGATCACAACACGAAGGCATTGTTTAAAACTTCTCCTTTTTCTGTCTCTTTGCAGTCTCTCTGAATCGTCTTAGATGCTAGCTGAGACTCAAATTTACATTAAGAACCAGCAATCATCTAACTGTTCCGAAACGTTTTCACTTGCTACTACATCCAGTCTCTTTTAAAAGGATTTAAACTTCAGCCGAGGTCGGAGGTGGTGGTGGTAGAGACTTAAATAAAAAACTGTTTTTCTTCATCCTCAGAGGAAATAGCTCCGTCAACATCTTTTCCCCATCTGCCTGTTTCCTTCCTCCCTCTCTCTCTTAAAGAAAAAAAAAGGGGGGGAGTCCAGATGTAACCACTGTACCCCTCCACACCCCCACTCCACCCCCACAAGCAAGAGAACCGCCTATGATGTCATAATCACAATCCCATTACCTCATCCTGATGGGGGGGGTGTAGAGGGAGGATAAGGAGTGAACAGCCGTGGGCCCTCAGCTTTACAAAGTGTTGACGGTGAGGTCTAATTACAGACCAAGTGGGAATGGCCCCGCAACTGTTATAATTCCTGAGTTTAGAAGGTTCGAGCGGATCTGGCAGCAAGAAGAGGGGCTCCAGGGACTCAGAGCAGGCCATAATCGACGCTTGGACTACACTTCCCAGCAACCTGCACGCCGCGGACAGGTCCTCTGCAGGGGAAAGGGGGATTCCTTTATAGAGACGGGGGTATAGGGCGAGACAGGAGAAGAGGTGAGAGGAGCCTTGGCTAATACTATTCTGCAGTCCGAACCAAGTGGAAAGCTGCACTTGGGCTGATGGAGGAATGGGGGTTATGGGCGATGGCTTTGTTTACCTTCCTTGGGCGCCGCTACCCCCGCGAGTTTCAAGATATGCTTCCAACTGGGCACGTCCACCTTCTGCGATATTTTTGGGGGGTGACACGATAGGGAGGAAACCATCTCTATCCCTAAATCAAAGCACCAGTCTGGTTCCCGACAGCACTATTCGAGAAAGACTTTGGTAAAGAAACGATGTAGGGCTCAGTCCCCCACGGACGATTCGGGAAGATTCTTGGAACAAGTGCGATCCTCCCCACTCTCCTCATGGACCCGTTGGTTCGCGCCGGCGCCTTTTAAGGGCACCGTGGGGCGAACGGAGCGCTCAGAGCTGCTCCGGCCGCGGCCCTGGGAGCTGGAGGAGCCGCGGTAGGTGGTGGAGGGCAGGTGGCGCTGGGGCCTTGGGGCGGGCACCTCGGCCGTCCCTCCTCCTCCTTTCTCTCCCCTCCCCCAACCCGTGCGCCCGAGCGGCCCAGCCTCTCTGGCCGCCTCCGCGGGGAGAGCTCAGGACCCGGTGGGGGAGGGGGTGGTGGAGTGCTAAGTCCCAGACCCTCTCCATCCCCTGCGTCTTGAGTTCGCTTCCCGCGGCTATATGGTGGAAGCTCAGTGGGGGTAGGCCACCGACAACCCCCTTGAACGGGCCCTGGCGGCCCCCCCATCAGGGGCCAGCAGATGCCCTATGCCCCACCCCGTGGGGACAGGCAGGGCAGCAAAGGGAGAGGTTGAAAATTGGAGGGGGCCTAGCCTTTTGCTTTTTCACCGGGGTTGGGGGAGGGGTGCTCCCACTTGTCACCCCTACCCCCACCAGAACCATATGGAAGAAGAGCAGTCAAGTCCCCTTTTACCTGTGTCTGCACCTCCCTGTCTCATGTTTTTCTTTAGTCTCCTCCAGAGGTGTGGGGCTGGGACCTGGGGGGAGGGTCCCCAGGGCATTTGAGATTCTCCTCCCCCTTGGTTTGATTTGACCCAGGGTTCTCCAGGTTTCAGCATAACCTCAGCATCCCTGAGGACCTAGTGTCAGTGGTTCCTGCCATGTATGGGAGGTGGGGTGAGGGTCCGATCTTTATTTTAAGGGGCTGGTGGAGGAGGGAAAGCCTGGGCTGAGAGTTGGGGCTGTAGGGAGGGCCTAGAGGCCTGCTGTTAAGTGAAGGGCTGAGCCCTGTGCCAGTTGTTAAGCTGAGAAGTTTTAACTTGTTCCGTGAATGTTCAGGGCTGTTTCAACCCCTCAGATACACAAAATGGAAGGGGAAGGAAGGCGGCAAGAGAGGGCTTCTTAGACTTTTTTCAATGCCTGTCTGAGAAAGAGGAGGCCCCTTGTGGAGCTGGTTTGCCTTCTTTTGTGTCCTGGTTTGATTCCTTATGGCTTCCGTTCTATTCCCCCTCTCAGCCTGGCCTGTTTTAGGAAACTCAGGCTTAGAGTATCAGTTGCTGGTGGTAGTTGCATTGTTCCAATTACCGCCGTGTGTGGCCACATCCCAACAATTAAAATGCAGAAAAAACACAAAATCACTCTCTTCACTTAATCCCAGAGAGGACTGGGAGTTTGCTGTTTGGCCAAATGCCTCAAGAAAAGCTTAAAACAGTTTGCCTCACTCCCTGCTCCTCATGGCTGGTCAGCCTGGGCCCAGGATCTCTGGAGTAAAAGCCTGCAGTTAGGTTCCCTCTCTGGATGATCTTTGAGGGCAGAGTTAAGAAAATAAGAGCAGAAGTGATATCAGTATTAGCTTCTGCCACAAGAACATAGGGGAAGCATCTAAAGGGAGCTCTCAGGAAGCTAGACTTTGTTCAGAGTGGTAATAATTATGCATAAAAATGATAGTTAACTATAATGATGATTGACTTCTCTGGCACCTTTCTCCCAAAGAACTCCAAATACTTTCGGATGTATTCCTTTGCTCTTCCTTGTGGCCTCCCTCTGAGGTGGGAATGGAATAAAGATAATTCTCTCTTTTTTGCAAAAGTAGAGAGTGATCTGCCCCCAAGTTCGCAGAAGAGCCCCCTTGGGCTTCTGTTGGTTCGTAGCCAGGGAGGTGGACTCTCTTGCCTTCCTCATCTTAATGATATTGCTCTGGCATCCCAAGGCTTTGTAGAGTAACAAACCAGGGATGAGAAATAGCAGCCTGTAAGGACTCCTGATTTGTAAAGCCAGGTGGTATGCTTTTGTAAATTTTTCACATTTCCTGTCATATCCTTACTGCTATGGATTAAGATTATTTTGCCCGTTTTACATATGGGTAATTTTAGATTTAGATTTCTTGATCCTTCGTTCTCTGTATTAGTGAATACCACATGCACCCTTTGGTGAGCTGTCTGCCTGCTGGTCATTTTTGAGAATGGGAAGAACGAAACTACTAACACTAGATTAACTTCCCACTTTACCTTGAGCAAAGCCCTTCATGCAATTGTGTGTTCTCTGATGAGTTGGTTTGCTTCTACCAGAAATTGACCCTAAGAGAGTCTTGATTAACTGCAGTTATGATCTTTGAATTAGATCAATCTAAAAACTTAGTTGAGTGAAGTCGTCAGAGGAGTTGTTTTTAATATCTGTAAGTTGAAATGTAATGAGAGTTACCCTGATAGCATTCCGTTATTCTCTTCTCATTTTACCAGAGAATATACACAGTATCTGTTGGAAAACAGTATTAGCTGCTCAGGGTAAGGGCAGACATAAAATCCTGTTTATTCTGATTGGTCTGAAACAAAAAATGTCATTCCTACAATGACTGCTCCTCTTCCCCATTACTAACTACTTCTGTCAAGAGAATGATGGTTCTATTCTCTTCTGATTCTGACTGGAAAATAAAGAAAATATTGGGTTAATCAGGATGGGAATAACCATTTGAACATCTCCCTCTTTCTTTTCAACTGTTTTCTGAGTGACATTAGGGTTCTGGGTAGACTCAGCCAAGCATGAATAAAGGAATGGCAAATAGGTTTCAACTTGCTTGTAACTCCAGTTCCTTTTACTAGATGTCAGGAGTGCTAAGTTCAGAATGTTTCTGAGTCTGTGTTCTGAGACTTTTTAGGTTAAGCAGGAAAGCTGTGATCAATTAATAATGTCTGCCAGAGGCATAGGGGTGCTGTGGTATGAGTGCCATGCGTTTTCCATCTCTGGACCAGGTACATCTCTAATATCACTTGGGGCTGGTCCCTCTGTAATTGGCAGACTCAGCAGGCATGACTGGAGAGGGAAGTCCCAATGGTGCTAGAATGGTGCTGCAGTGGCAGAAGACGGCTCACGAGTGAGGTCTGGAAGAACAACAGGGAAGACATCCATCATTTGCTCCAAAGTGTGCAAGTCAAATCCTGGGGAGAATCATGATAACCCTGATCACTGAGCAGCTACAGAAGCAGACTCTGGATGAGCTGAAATGCACACGCTTCAGCGTCAGTCTGGTAAAAAGACCAGTCTTCCTGCTTCTCCACGACCCCCCCTCCTTTTTTCTGAGGTTCTTTGTTGCTACTACTTCACCCTTGTCCTGTACTGTATGAATCATAGTACTTGTACTGGAAGAGCCCACTAAAGGCTCAGAACCTAGCCCAAAAGGAAGGGGGCAGGGATTGTTCCACTGGTAGAGAAGGGACACTAAAACTTGGGTGGAGAAGGGTTTGAGATGTTGGAAGATATGGATTGTTTTACTGACTAACTTTGGGAAGACAAGAGGAAGAGAACACATAGGAGTCCCTCACGTCCTACAGTCCACAAATTTCAGGGATGAGCTGAAGAGGGATTCCAGGAAAGCCATCAGCATGTCCAGAACTCGAATGACTGTGGATATTCTCTGTCTCTCTCTTAGCCTTTGCCTGATCATGCAGACATCTCCAACTGTGGAAACCCTTTCCAGCTTGTGTCTGGTAAGGCATCATGTGTGTGCGTGTGTGTGTGTGTATCTGCCATCACACATTTTTTAATTGACTTCCAGAACTACAGAACTGCAGTTCTAGAATCTGCAGAACCTCATTGCAGAGGTCATCTTCCAAGATTATCGCTTGTCTCTATTTTACTGCTCCAGGATGGAAGTTATCTGTTTAGTTAGCTCTTATTGTAGCCTTGTGGGGACTTTCATAATCTAATTTTTTTTTGAAGAAACAATATATTCACATAGTTCAAAAAATTTCAAACAACAAAAAGATTATACAGAGAAAAGTCTCCCTTCCAGTCTTATCCCCTATTCCCCCAGCTTCCATCATCTCCCTAAAAGAAACTGTTATTTCTTAAATATCCAACCAGAATTTCCTTATACAAATAGAAGCAATATAATGTATATTCTTATCTTCACTTTTTTGTTTGATACGAAAGGTTGTGTACTATATGTGTTATTCTGTACCGTATTTTTTTACTTAAATACAGTTAGGAGATCTTCCATGAGTACATTGAGTAGTTCCTTGTTTTTTAATAGGTGGCGTAGTGCCTAAGGCATTTGACTGCTAACCATAAGGCTGGTGGTTCAAACCCATCAGCCACTCCTCGGAAGGAAGGTTGGGCAATCTACTTCTGTAGTGGTATTACCTCGGAAACCCAAGGAGGGGTCTCTGTGAGTTGGATCTGACTTGACAGCAGTGGGTTTTTTTTGTTTTGTTTTGTTTTTTTTATTGTGTCATAGTTTATTTAACCAATCTCCTATTGATGTTCATTTAAGCTTATTTCCAATCTTTTTTTATGACATATAAAACTTAAGTGAATAACCTTTTTATAATGTCATTTTGCATATGTGAAAATGTATTTGAGGTATAAGTTCCTAGATTATTATTACTCAATCAGAGGGTCTGTGATCATGGAGACATTTAGATGAACTGGACAACCAGAACTCTCAAATCCATCCCATTCTGCATCTTGTTTTGTTTTCTGGGATTCCTGGAATGGGAAATGAATTGGCAAAAGCATTTCCATTCATCCTCTGTCTCTTATTTAACGAAATAGTTGCTGAGAGCCAGGTACTGTGCTATAAGTATACGATGGATGCATGGTCCCCGCTCTCATGGAGATTAGTAGTGGAGAGAGCTCTTAAACAAATGAGGTCAAGTATGAGTTTTCTCCATCATCAAGTCTTAACATCATACGCTTGTCAGTTGCTTTAAATATACAGCCCTGCAAATTCCAGCCAGCTAAGCCAAAGGACCACCACTCGTCTGTCAGTTTGTTGTGCTGTGGTGGCTTGCATGTTGCTGTGAGGCTGGAGGCTATGCAAATATTTCAAATATCAGCAGGGTCACCCATGGTAGACAAGTTTCATAGGAGCTTCCAGACTAAGACAGACTCAGAAGAAGAGAGGGGCCATCCGCTTCTCCAAGAATTAGCCAGTGAAAACCTTACGAATAGCAGTGAAACACTGATATATCACTGCAGAAGGACCAGGCAGTGTTTCATTCTGTTGTACATAGGGTCACTATGAGTCAGACGACTTGACGGCACCTAACAACAAGCCAAAGGAGGTTGAGGTAGACCTTTTCGTCCCTTTGTTAGTTGTCTCCCAAAAGTCACAGTTTTGGTGAGAATGCAGAAAATGCAGAGACCATTCTGTTTAGTCAGCTTCCCTTCCCATCCCTTGTCTTCCCATTCTGTTTGGCTTTTAAGAAAAGGCCTAAAGGAAAGAAAGAAGGTTGTGTAGATAGCCAGAAACAAAAGAATATGGGCAGCACAAAATCTTAGGGTTTTCTGGGCATAAGTTCTTCTGTCAAAGGCCTTTTCCCTACCCCATTTACCCTTCTTAGAAGTAAAAGTGATGTCTTACCTGCTTGATTACTTCTTGGTTGCACCTTACTTAAATCTTTGTTGTGCTGTTGACACAAGGGAAGAAGAGGAGAGGCCAAGGAAGGACAGCATAGGCTTGCTTTTCAGAACTTGAGGTAGGGGAGGCACGGAGACACAGAGTAGGGCTGGATGGAGTGGGGTAAGGGATGAGCAGAGCATAAACATACATGTGTCTATTTTGCTTGATTTGTTTTACTTTGGAAAGGGAGTGGCAGGCAGTACATGAGAGTATATTTTAGATTTCCGGTAATTTCTTATAACAGAAGCAGTATGTTATAGTGGTTAAGGAATCTGGCCTTGACATCCCTTAGGTTTGAATCCTGCTTTGGTCATTTGATTGCTATATAATCTTAGGGAAGTTACTGGACTTCTTTCATCTATGAAATGGACATAATAGTACCCACCTCATGGGGTTTTTGGGAACAGGAAGTGAGATAGCAACAACATAAAGTGCTCAGTGTGTGACACATAGTAAATTCTCGAATAGTGTTTGCTATCATTAATACTATTTTTATTATGACTACCTTCCAGAAGGTGCTTCCTGGAGGGGCCTGCCCCACTGTTCCTGCGCCGAGTTCCCGGACAGCCTCAACCTCAGCTACCAACCCTCAGGCTTGAGCCTGCACCTCAGACTACCCAGCCGGGGAAGCTCCCCACAGGAGCAGCCCCTCCCCCAAGTCCTAAGCCCTGAGCCCCCAGACCCAGAGAAACTCCCTGTGACTCCCACCCCTCCATCTAAGAGGCACTGTCGCTCACTCTCAGTGCCCGTGGACCTGTCTCGCTGGCAGCCGGTGTGGCGGCCCGCCCCCTCCAAGCTGTGGACTCCCATCAAGCACAGGGGTAGTGGTGGAGGGGGCGGGCCGCAGGTGCCTCACCAGAGCCCCCCAAAGCGAGTCTCCAGCCTCAGGTTCCTCCAAGCTCCCAGTGCCTCTGCTCAATGTGCCCCAGCCCACAGACCCTACAGTCCCCCTTTCTTCAGCCTCGCCCTAGCCCAAGATTCCTCTCGACCTTGTGCTGCCTCCCCCCATAGTGGCTCCTGGGAGAGTGATGCTGAGTCCCTGTCACCTTGCCCACCCCAGCGCCGTTTCTCCCTGTCACCCAGCCTGGGCCCACAGGCAAGCCGCTTTGTGCCCTCTGCCCGGAGTTCCCCAGCATCCTCCCCAGAGCTGCCCTGGAGACCTCGAGGCCTCCGCAACCTTCCCCGCAGCCGGTCACAGCCTTGTGATCTCGATGCCCGCAAAGCTGGGGTCAAGCGGCGTCACGAGGAGGACCCCCGGCGGCTGCGGCCTTCTTTGGACTTTGACAAGATGAATCAGGTGGGTCCAGCAGGACTAGGATAGCTTGGATGGGAGTAGGGGTACTATGTTCTAGTCTCACTCTTAAACTGTCCCCTCGTTCCAGACTCTCTCAGTAGGGCCCCCCCCTGGAGCTCTTTTCTGTCAGAGCTTTTGCTTGGGTGACCTACCATCCTGGTTTGACCATGATGGTCCTGGTTTTAGCACTGAAAGTCCTGTGTTCCGTGAAACCTTTCAGTTCTGGATGTTCCACAGAGTTTGGGGTGAGATCCATGGTAAATCTTCCAACAGGGATCCTAGGTTACCCTGCTAGAGGTACTTTCTTTTCCCTTGGAAGAGGTGTAAGCTATAAAAGTCCCATCATCAGTGTCGCCTCCCCCACACACACACACACACCTCGTGCTCAAGGCTAGTTTCGCCGCTTGCTCTTCACTGCTTCAAGTGGGTCTGTGAGAGCTTAAGCAAGACAGGCTGCTATGTCATTCATCTGTTCAACAAATGTTTTTTAATTTTGTGCTGTGAGCACAGTTGTTGTATGCACTTGCCCACTTTTTCCCTCATTATTTCTTCTAGATCCCTGGGTCACAAATGTCTTTGAGAATTTGTTCATTTATTCATAATGGGCTCCAACCATTCAACAAACATTTATTGAATACATACTATGTACCAGCTTCCGATGAGATGCTGGGTATTTAGTCATGAAACAACTAGACAATATCCCTGCACATGTAGAACTTATGAACAAGTTTCTAATTTTGAATCTGTCGGAAACTATGGGCTTTTTGCTGAGAGAAATGTACATGTATGCTAAATTTTCTGGGGAAAACCCCACCCTAAGGACTCCTACCTTCAAGGGTAACCAAAAGGGACACTTTGATACACTGCTAGAGCGAAGGTGCTATGGGAGGTTAGTATCTTTCTTAATTTTGTTTATTTGTTTGTTTGTTTGACAGAAACCGTACTCAGGAGGTCTGTGTCTCCAGGATACAGCCCGGGAAGGCAGCAGCGTTTCTCCACCATGGTTCATGGCCTGTAGCCCCCCACCTCTCTCTGCTTCCTGCAGCCCCATTGGGGGTTCCTCCCAGGTGTTGAGTGAAAGCGAAGAGGAGGAGGAGGGGGCCGTGCGGTGGGGGCGGCAGGCTTTAAGCAAACGGACACTGTGCCAGCAGGACTTTGGGGACCTGGACTTGAATCTGATTGAGGAGAACTAAACCTGAGAGGCTACTTCCTGGGGCCACACAGACTGACTCTCTTACGGCTACTAACAAGTGTCAAGGCCCCAAGGCCAAGGGCCCAGCCTGGGAGCGGGGGTGAGTGGAGGGCTCTGACTCAGGGCAGCCGGAATTCTTCTCGCTCCAGGAAGCTCGACCATGCCAAGACACTGGCTGGGACAAGATAAACGGAGCTGGTGGCGGGAGGGACAGCCCCAGAGCAGACCCTACCCGTGGCGGCCCTGAGTGTGAGTATCCCTGCCACCGAGAGAGCAATGGGCAGGGAAGGAAGGGGTCTGCTGACCCCAGCTCGGGGAATTTCACTAGCCCCTTTGCTTCAAAGGGCACTTGTGTCTTAGAATTTGGCCAGGGTGGGAAGGGTTCAGTCAGCCTCCTTGGAGAAACTGTGTGAGAGTATATGCGTGCATGGGAGTGTGTTCAAGTAAAGGTGTGTTTGTGTAGCCTTAGGGGAGGAAGGCATTTGCTCCTTAACAGTAGAGCATCGTGATACCCCAGGATCCTGAGTTTTTGTGGGAAATAGGCCTTGTCAAGGAGTAGGAGGGCACCAAGTTTTCATTGTTTCTGAATATCCCTGGAGCCAGGCTTGTAATCTGTGTGCATCGCTGGCTCTGTAAAGGACTCTGTTTTGGGTCTTTTTAAGTGCTGTGACCTCAGCTAAGGGTCTTTTCGTCCTCTCCACCCCTTCTCACTAGGTGAATCTCTGTTGAGGGGTGGAGAGGGGTCTCCACGTTCATTCTGAGCTAGTCTTTTTTTTTCTCATCAGATTGCCTAGGCTATGTACATCCTGCCTCTCTTACTCTCTAAGTAGATGCAAGCACACGTGGGCAACTGAGGCAGTTCTGAAGGGCTCCATCGCACACTTTTCCTTCCTACTGAAGGGACTTTGCTGCCCTCACCCTCTAACCTTTGAGGTCAGAAACAAGGAGGAAAGACCCTGTATTGGTCCCCAGTGTCTATTGAGGCAGACCTATAGCAGATACGATGTTCAGGCCCCACGGCCATGGGTGAGCTTGCTCCAGTCCTGACTGTTAGAAGCAGACTATAAGGAAACCTATTGTAAGATCCAAGCCCAGCCTCTTTTCTGATCTGCTTGAGAAATGGGTGTCAGCATTTACTAGTTTGCTTGTCTTCCACTTGTGCCAGGAAATGTTTATTTGCCTCTAATTGGCCCTAAGAGACCACAGGGAGGTTAAGGCTCACTAAGGGATTGGCTGAGGATATGTAAAGCGAAGGCAGTGAGGAACAGTTGGGAGTTTGTTGTTGTTGTTGGATTGAATTTCCTTTTTTTTTTTAAGTTTCTCACCACAACTTGAGCCAGGACAACAGGTCCAGTGGCCATAGTGATGAGTTTAAGGACTGCAGCTACCATGGAAGGACTGGCACCTGTGGAAATGTGAAGCTGCTACTATAATAGCTTGTGAAGCTTTGTCCAGCTTTGGTTAGACTCTGCAAGACCAAATTGGACCTGCCTTTCCTGTTTATTAGAAGAAGGGCCATTTTCTTTTCAATTTCCAGGGTGTCTTAAGATCCAAGTTCCTCACATTGGGAGAAAATACTAAGGTCTATGTTTTTCTTCCTTGTGGAGTTGAACCTGACATTATCTGGGTCTCCCACATGTTGCATAAGAGCATAAATGAGGCTTCGGCCTCCTTGCCTGCACTCCAGAGGAGAGGTGACCATATCTTCTTGAGCCTCTGCTATTTACAGGCTCTACCCTTCCAAGCTCCTCTCCATCTAGTTAACCATGTATTACCAGTGGGCCACACAGTATGTGGGGGCCTGAGAGAACCATTCTGGAGAAACCAGGGAAACTGGGAGCCTAGGAGTTGACCATCCTTGGTTTCATCCCTCCCCTGGCTCTTCTTCCTCTACAGGCCATAATTTCCCTGGTGCCGGCTTCTTTTTCTCTGGGGGCATCCTCATCCCTGGGCTTTCTGCTGCAGGTTGCCTGTGCCAGCTTCCATTAGGCCACTGGCACTGCCAGTGTGGTCTTTGGAAGCCCTAAGCTAAAGAAGTGAGGGCAGAATCTGGCTTCCCCAAAGCTCTAGGGCACCATTCTTAAGGGAGAAAGTCTGCAGATACTAGAGTCGAATTCCATTACTTTCAAGACTGGAAAGTTAAACTTGCCAGAACTATCATCTTCCCAGTCTAAGCACCCATGGCCCTGGGACAAGCCTTTTCAAGAAGTGGTTCATTTTGCTTTACACAATAGATCTGTTCCAACAGTTCTGTGTAAACCAAATGCTATTTTTCCATGCATTTGGACTGCTAACCATTTAAAAGCAGCCTATGATTGCTTCTTTTGTAAAGCAAGCAACCTCCTCCCTCTACTTCAGCTGTTTTGACTATTTGGATTTTCACATATTGGGCTTACCCAGAGTGGAGCACACCTCCACAGGGCTTGTGGTTGACACTGGGTAGCCATCTGCATCTGTGCTGTGTGTGTGGTGTGGCTGACCAGTAGGTGAGTATTCCTGCGTGTGTGAGTGAAGCCACTCCCAGGCTGGTGCTCTCCTCCTGTGCCCGGTAACTGCCCAGTGGCAGCTCCAGCTGCCCTTCACTCCCACCTGCTGCCAAAGTCCCTGTGCTAACGGGATTACAATTACAAAAAGTGGAAAAAAAAATTTCGTAAACTTTGTTTTATATTAAAAAAAAAGAAAAAAAAAAAACAAACCCTAAGTCTGTGTGTGTTAAACATGAGGTCCTGCCTCTGTGACTGTGTTTGAAAAAATAAAGTTTTATTAGAATAATCCATTTTCCCAAGCAACCTTGTGTACTACAGTGTCTTCTTCCCTTCCCACAGGAAGGGCAAGGAGGAAGCAGGGAGATGGCTGCCTAACTCTTCCCAGCCCCTTCTATAACATGGTTGGACCCTGGCCCTTCACAGGCCACAACAGATCAATTCTTAATGGCCCAAACTTCTGTTAAGGCCTTGGTTATTTCTGGCAGTTTGTTTTGTTGTGTTTCCCTGATACTTGTACCTGTCTTCTCTTCGTACTTTCTTTCTCACTTCCATCAAGTTAAAGTTAAGTATTAATACATTCCAGGCCTTTGAGAAATGCTTCATGGTGCAGTCAGGAATTTGTCTAGATTGGTTTGTAGGCTTTGGGAAGTGGTGAGAAGGCAGAGTGGTAGACTTAACCAGGAATCTTTCCCTTTCTTAAGGGTTTTCATGTTAGGTCCTGAAGAGAAAGAGATTTTGTCCTCCGAATTCAGATTCCAAAGACAATTTCTCCATCCTAAAAATACTGCTGTTAGGAAGTAATCCTAGCAGCAAAGCTTCTCTTTTGTCCTAAGAGAAGGTATTTTTCTCTAATGCTTTAATTTGGAATGTTCATTTGCTGAAAGAAGCTGTGTGGCTCACTCTCAGTGTCTTTAGACCTTTCTCTTCCACCCTTTCTTCTCCCTATGTTAGCATTTTTCCAATGTGTGTGAGTGAAGCATAGTTGCTTAGAGATCCAGGCAGGAGCCTCTGTCCCTAAGGCTTAGCCTTTCTTTACCAGTTGTGGTGCTGACTTGCCAGGTGGCAAGGAGAGTTAAGTTGCTTAGCCTACGTCCCAGTTTCCTGTTTCAAACTAGGGGCACTCATTGTTGAATACCAATGAAGTATGCTGGAGGACAGGATTGGATTGACTTCCTGGAACAGAAATCTTTCAGGGTGAAAACACATCCTAGAAAGAGTGAGACTTGTCACCTGCCCTGGAAACAAAAGGGTTTTGGGGAAGCGGTGGTATGTGGTTGAGGATGTTTAGAATTACAGGGTTTTTTTCTGAAAAAAACTTGTTTCATTTCACCTCTGCTAGACAAGAGGTAAAGTTTGAGTATCTAAAGTGATTACTTCCCCCCCACCCTTTTCCTTTCTTTTGAATTATTTTGTTGGGTTTTACTACTGTTGATTTTGTGATGCCGAGTATGACTTTTTCTTCATTCCTGAAGTACCTACTAGTATAGAAAAGAATGTAAACTCCATGAGAGCAGGGGTTTTGTTTTATTCACTGTTGTGTCCCCAATACTGTGAAAAGATTCTGGCATATAAAAAGTGCCTGGTGTATTTGTTGAATGAATTTCCTATCTCTGCCTTTCCCATTCCTGAGCTTAGGCACATTTCTAGCTTTGGTACTGGGAGAAGCCAGCCTTAGACCCTGGGGTTGTAATTAAGAGTTCCACCTGAGAAAAAGTCCCAGCAGTGAATTTTGATAGGAAGGCTGCAGAGGTGCTAAGTAAGTCCTGTGTGGGGAATCGGCCTTGTTCCTCTTCTACCAACTACAATTTGTACTTTTAAGAGGAGTCTCTCGGCCCAAATGTTCTGAATCATGCCTCAGGGAGATAAAAGTTCCAAGGAACAGGAAGAGAAAAAGTCTAAGTAAATGTTTCTTTGGTTCTAGAATGACTTCCTAAACGTTTTGTACTTTTATTAATGTCAGTAGTTGGTGGCCCCCAGCCTTTGCTACAAGAAAAGTAGGTCAAGGGTATAGATAGGTTGTGGACAGGGGATAATTTGGTAGTCACCTTGGAGAATGAACCAGCTACTGCCAGCAAATCAGTGAAAGAAATTACCACTTTAAGAGTAATAATCATGGATTGTTGTTGTTGTTATGTGCTATTGAGTCAGACCTGGCTCATAGCGACCCCTCCTTGGGTTTCCGAGGTGGTATCACTACAGAAGTAGATTGCACAACCTTCCTTCCAAGGAGTGGCTGGTAGGTTTGAACCACCAGCCTTCTGGTTAGTAGTCAAGTGCCTTAGGCACTATGCTACCAGCGCTCCCTATGGATTATCAGTAGGCCCTTTATCTTTCTGGTTTGTATTTGCTTCCATATATATTCTGTCTCTGCATCTGTGAAACCATGGAAACTGTACTAGTCTCTCTGACATTACTAAAGTTAAATGAGGTTGTTCATTGCTTGGTGGTTGAGCCAGGACCACCATAGTAATCCAACCAAAAATCTGAGCATCTTCCTTTCTCTACAGCCTATTTTTCTAGTAACTCAGCAGGAGCTATCAATCTACATCTGTACCAAATAAATTCAAACAGGAGTGAAGGGGTTTTCTTTGCCCCTAACTGTACTGTTTCCTTGGTAAGATGTGATGCTACTGAACCAGAGAAGAGAATTCCTTTATGACTGGTCTCTTTCCACTTCCCCTTGAAGTGGAAACTTGAGTTGAGAAACACTTGGGCTTAATAACATTAGCAGATTAGGAAGAGGAAGTTCCATGGATTTAAGGCAAAAAAGAAGATGTTGGCACATTGGCCTTCAGCCAATGGAAAGTGTCTTCACATCCAATGGAGGTAACACATTGGCCAATGGGAAAGGAACCCTTGCGATATTTATTGGCAGTATAGAATGTGACTACAACAGTGGGCTCAAAGTGGCTTCAAAGTGAAGATGGTGCAGAACCAAGCAACGTTTTGTTCTGCTCTACATCGAGTCACTATGAGTCAGAACTGACTCAACAGCAGCTAACAACAACAGCAATATAGAAGAGTTCCTGGATAGTGCAAATAGTTAATATACTTGGCTGATAACTGAAAGGTTGGAAGTTCAAGTCTACCCAGAAGCACCTTGGAAGAAAGACCTGGTGATCTGCTTCCAAAACATCAGTCATTGAAAACCCTTTGGGGCATAGTTCTACTCTGACACACATGGGGTCACCATGAGTTTGAATCATCTTCAGGGCAACTAGTTTGAGTTACAGAATGGAATGGAATGTTAGTTATGGGCCAATTGGAAGGGAGATATTTTATCCCATGGGCCAATGAGGTGAAAGTAATCTAAAAGATGATAGGAAGGGTACCTTATATTTTCAGGATAGGAAATCAAGGGGATATGGGGCACTTCTTAGCTCAAAACATCCACCCCATAGGTATCTTGCCCCAATATACATAAACGTCTTTGGTGTCTAAGAAGGGTAAGCTAAAACCTTCTCAGATAGAGGACCCTTCTGAAGGAAGGTTGGGACCAAGATGGTGCCAAGGGGACTGGAGGACCCGCCCACCTCCCCACCCCCGGCCTAACCTGCAATTCCCCTCCCGGCCGCAGGGGGCACTGCAGGCCCCGGGGAGATTGGGGCGGAGCGCTACGAGGGGCCCGGAGCTGCCGCCCCGCTCCAGAGCGCGGGGGGCGCTGTGCGGGGCCCAGGCTGCGGCTCCGCTCCCGGCCACGGGGGGCGCTGCGCGGCGCCGGTGGTTGGTGGTGGCTGTTGGGGGGGGTGGGGGGGAGCCGCGGCCGCGGGTGGTGCGGAGGGAGGCCTTGCGGGCGGATTGGGCGCTTGGCGGCGGAGGTGGTGGGAGGCGGTGGGCTGGAGTGCGGGTCCGAGCGGCCCTGGCGATGGCGGACGCGGCTGCCTCCCCGGTGGGCAAGCGGCTGCTGCTTCTGTTCGCGGACACCACGGCCTCAGCCTCGGCCTCGGTACCCGCGGCGGCGGCAGCGGCGGCGGCAGCAGGCGGAGATCCGGGGCCTGCGCTGCGCACTCGGGCCTGGCGGGCCGGCACGGTGCGGGCCATGAGCGGGGCGGTGCCCCAGGACCTAGCGGTGAGTGGCGGCCGAGTCGGGCACTCGAGGCCGGGGCTGAGGGGCCTGCGGGCGGCCTCCCCGGGGGCCTTTGTGAGGGGGCGGTGGGGTGGGGGTGCCCCAGTTTCGCGCCCCCCGATCTCCTCAGCGCCCCCCGCCGGCCCCTAGGCACACAGAGCTCTGGCTGGCATGGCTTCCGCGTCGAGGTGCGCGTCCCGGTTCTCCCGGGGGGCAGCCGGGGCGCCTGGAGTTGCTGCTTCCAGCCGGCAGGCCCCGCCTCCTGGGCGACCCCTTTCTCTGCGTCCCCCCCAAACACGCGTTCGGAGCAGACCCCGAACCCTGGGCTCCTGGGCCCCTGGGTTCGGCTCGTGCTGTCGCTGTCTCCTGGAAGACGCAGACCTATGGTCTTCAGCCTCTTTAGGGAGACCTGTTCCCGTCCTCCCGGAGCCCTGAATGGGGCGGGAATGTGGGCAGTTGTGGGAGGCACAGGCTGCAGTTAAAGCTGCTTGGGGCTGCTCTGGCAGTTACTTCCTCCTTTCCTGAGCTGTGCTAGGTCTGCAGTCTCCAGAAAGGCTAGCTCTTGAGACTCTTGGACTCTTTGCGCTTCTGGGTGACAGGAGCTGCAGTTGTGGCTGTTTTTGATAAGTTTAAGATTTGTATTGTCAGCCGAATAGGGCTGCTGGGTGCTTCTTTTTTGCTCCCAGCTCGGCTCCTCTCCTCCAGCCTTAGGAGAGGTTTGTTTTTGAAACTTTGTGTTGGAGCTTGGCTGCTTTTGAATACATGACTTGGTGTATTATGTGATTAAAGTTGTTTAGTAGTTGTATAACTTGCATTCAAGATCATGATGAGTTATTTTGTTAACGTGGCGGCTAAGTACTGTCTTTGAGCTTCTGTAAGCCTCTTTATTTCCTCATTTTGGTAGCGGCCCTAGCTTCTCTGGTGAGATAAAGCTGAAAAATAGGAATATTCTTTTGGAATGTCATAGATCATCAGGCAGAAGTTATATTTTCTTGATGAACTTGCTAGTGCAGATATTTTGTTCATTGTAAACTTGAATACCTTTTGTGAGATTTGGAAGTACTATCGTAGGTTTCTTATACTCATTTTTCTACCTATTTATTAGTATTGTTAGAGTTTATTTTCTTCCACCCTGGATAGGCGAGCTTTATGGTTGTTTCGCTTGTGGCTGTCCTTAGGCCTCAGCTTTGCTTCTGCTATTTGAGTTCATTTGCTTTGATCTCTCTCCATACTCTGT